TGCGTGCGGCCGTCCGCGAGTGTAACTTGCGTAGGTTGCGTCTTTCTTCGAACGCGCGGGCCAAGACCTGCGCGGGCCATAAAGGCTTGACTCATGAAGTTGCGAGACGCTCCGCAATCAATCAAGGCACTACAGGTTGCCTTTCCGATTCGAATGCGGATATAAAGCAAAGGTGCGTCGGTTTCGGCGTACCTTTGGGTGGCGTGCTCGCGGTCGATCGATCTTCGCAAGATAGGAGCGGAGATCGACAACCGCTACCCCGTCGTCCGTCAACGGAGCTGGTACTGTAGTGTGCAAGTAGGAGCGTAGATTTGCCATCAAGGCGTTGCAATGCGGCCTTGGCAATGTTCCAGTCGAGGGTAGAGGTATCCAAGCGAAATCCTCTCTCGTGAGCGGGTCAAGCTCCTCAAGTCTTGACCACGCCGTCGAGTCCTCGGAAAACAGTGGCGAACTGACCGGATCACTTGCCGACGGTGTACACGCTGCACATACGCAATCTACATGCACGTGGCTAGGCTGGTCTAATGGTGGTACCAGCTGGGCGGCATAATCCTCGTACATAGCACGAGAATCAGCGACTAACGCATGCTCCCCGGTAGTGACATAGATTGCTAGCAAGGCAACCGGGTCCGGCGGAGTGAGGAGAGACGTCGCCCCTCTCCTTGCGTAACTCAGTTTCCCGAGTTTGCTGGACGGGGTACACGTGCCTTGCCCTTTTCGGGGCATTGTGCGGTCACATTGGTGACTCCGTTGCACCAAAGGCAGTATCCGTACTTCTGACGTAGGTCATAGACCTCCTTGGTGATCTTATATGCCGTCCATGGCTGCCCAGCTCCCGTCGCTGCCGTCTCTTGTGTCGCCTTGTTCTTACGAACTCTCTTGGGACGCTTTGGCGGGAGCGCTGCGACAATTCCTCCATCACTCGAGGATGCTGCTGCAGCGTGGTGGTCATCAATTTCCTCAGAAATCACGGCATTGTTATGTGTCGGACGTTGATAGGCCTGCTTAGCCACATAATGCGGCTGGGATTGTCTCTCGTTAGCGGCCTTGTCATCCGTTTGGATGACCAAGTTCGCTCGATCCAGWATGGCCTGGAATGTGGTATAGTCGTACTCGTTACCGAGTGTTGACCGCAATCCCGCGCACGATCGCGAGAAGAACTCGGATCGTTGATTTGGAAAACTCAAATCGAATCCTGGCGTGGTCACTATCTTTTGCCACTTCGTTGTCCAGTCTTCAGTTGGCATGTTCCCCTGAGAGCATGTGTACACCTCATTCATGGCCGCCTTCACGACGTTGCGGACAATGAACCGAGTGAACCATAGCTGCTCGAACTCCTTCCACGTGATGTGCGTGTGGAGTTCGGCGATGGTGCACTTATGGGTGGCCGCCAGGTGGTTCATCCATGCCTGCGCTCCTCCAATCAGTTGCAAATAGAGTGCCTTCAACATGTCGTTCGCCGGGATAGTGCGGCATGACGCTTCCGTGAGGAAACGTTGCCACCATGTCAAAGTGTCCGACTTGTTGTAGTCGTCGAACTTGCAGATGTCGAAGTGCGGCATCTTGAACGTCTTTGTAGCGGCGTCCGGTCTCGTCTGTAGCTTGGTGATGTCCGTCTTGATGGCGGCCACCGTGCTGCTGATCGTTTCCGGTCCGTTGAAAACACCTATGTCGCCGATGATGGTGACGACGTGATCGATGCGTTCATTGATTTGCTTCGTCGCGTCTGTCGTGCAGCCTGGCGCTGCTGAGGCCTTGGCCTCAATGCCGTTGATGCGTGCGATGGTACAGTTCATCAGCTGTTGCTGTTGCTGCTGCTGCGTTGCTGCGTCGCGGACGTCGGCCGTTACAGCGGCCCGGTCTTGCTGGTACTGCTGTCTTTGCTGACGATCCGCATGCAGGTGTGCCTGCAGTAGTTTATTGTTCCACATTACTCCCCTCATTACGTTCAACATCACGGTAGCCAGGTTACTTTTCTCTGCCTCCGCCTGTGTCGGTTCCGCCTGCGTTCCCGTAGGCACAAAGATCATGTATTGGAGTAACGTTGTCCACTGATGCTCACTAGCAATCAGGGACTCCATGTTGGCAGCATTCCGTCTGTTTCGTGCCGCTTCGTTAGTCTCAGCTGTCCGCTGAGCTTCGGCTGTCACTTCGTTGGCCAGCCGCTGACGTTCTGCCTCTGCCGCAGCCTGCTGAGCCTCGGCGGCGGCTACGGCGTCTGTAAATGCCTGTAGCCGCCCACGATAGTCAGCCCAAGACTCGCTGGCCTCTCGGACCGGGCATGCGGGAAAATCTCCGGTGGTGTCTGGTACTATCAATGCCGTACTTGATGCCGCTGGAGTCGTCTGTTTGCTGAATCTCTTGGGTCTTGGAGGTACCGCAGGGCGGGCACGAACTGCGATCCTGGCACTGCGCCGTGGCAGTGCCCCGATATCCTGTTCCGTCGACATCAGTCTGAACTGATGCGGTACTTGAGAGGTGCCGGTGTTCACAGACTACAGGGGGGTAGGTAGAGTGGGAGCAGGGGTAGAACAATCAAGCAATATACTTACAATCCCCTGTCCCACTGATGGACTGTAGACACCTAATCAAACAGGAAAAAAAAATAAATTTCCCGTAAACCCTTCAAAAAAAATTCGTAATAAGGAATTAATAACGATTTAATCAATAAAATTAATTAATGATAATAAATCCGAATGATAATCAGTAAAACAATGTTTGTAATGAAGATAACCAATAAACGAATTTGAAACGTATTATGATTAGGTCTCTTTGAGATCACTTTGAGTCCGGGAGTTCACCGTTCTGAGTGAACTACCCGGAAGTTGCAGTTTGAGGGTCAAATACGGCTTAGTGTGCTAAAAAATTTCGGAAATTTTCAGAAAAAACGCTTGAATTTCAAAAACGCGAACTTTCGGGAATTTCCACCGTCAAAATCCGATTTTTAAAAGCCTAAACCTATTTTCGGAATTTCTCAAACAAGGAGAACGAAAAAAAAAATCGCGAAAATTTCGGTCCCAACCCTAATTTTCCGCGTTTCGGCGAAATTTCCGGATTTACGGTCCCAAAACGTTCGAATTTCCCCAAGTTGATCTAAAACCCAAAGATTCTCGTAACCCTAATTTCCAATACTGAAAGACAACGGAAATCCAAAAGACAACGAAMTATAGGATTTACAAYRAAAATGCTGAAAACGGAMTGCTGAATGGAAATCAGAAACGCCGAATTTCAACATGATACTGATTCAACCCTAATTCGTGTAACCTCAGAAATCCGAAACTTAATCAATTATCGGATTAGTATTACTCAATCAGAACTCAAATAGCAGCATACCGGAAGAAAACAGAAATCCGAATTATAAGTCCGAATACCGAATTGAACGAAAATGCCGAACTAAATAGAATACTGAAAGAGAAAATTTTGCAACTTTGAACTCGATAGTAATTCGGCGCTGATTGGGAAGATTGAAGAACAATCTAATTCCTAACCAGACTTACCTTTGTGAGCAGATCCGTTTTATGGTCTGCTCCGATACCAAAACTGTTACATACTCCAATGAGTATGGGCAGAACCAAGAATCAACCAATGTAGGATGAGTATAGATGCAACGGAAGTCTGATAAACGGACTGACTCACATAGACTGACTCACATAGACTGACTCACATAGCATTACTCCACACACATACAATCGTGAGATGGTGGGGTCTGAGCCATACAAAGAAGGTGCTCAGCCCCGTACACAACATACACAGATGAATGGGGGAGGAGAGACGAAGGAGGTGGGGCAGGTAGACAGCACTGAAAGTCACCGAAATAGAATCTGAKAGGTCACCGATATGGTAGTCCAAAATGTCATCCAACGAGATCAAAATGTCGAGGACAATAGGTCACCAATGTCGGAGGTACAGAGTCCAAATGTAACCGGTGTCCGAACTGTGATGCAGCCGAGTATCAACCCCAACAATCTCCAAGTCTCCAGCAGGTAAGTACCACAGTCTCCTATCACCGAAATCCAACTCTGATCTCTGTCCAACTAGTATAAGTATCCAATCTGAAGAAGAAGAAGAAGAAGAAGAAGAAGAAGAAGAAGAAGGAGAAGGAGGGAGCCGAGGAGGAGAGGGAGGGAGAGGGGACTGGCGATGGGAGGGAGGAGAGAAACCTCCAACTCCCGGTACCTCAGGCGGCTATGGCCGCCGGTAACCCAGTCGCCGCTGCTGCTGCTCCGCTTGCTGCTGCTGCGCTCGCTGCTGCTGCACTAATCGCTGCGCTGCCTGCTCCTCGCTCCTGCGCTAAACATAGCGCTCCAACGGCACTCTGGTGCCGACCTTACCGCACCGTAGTATACCGGTGGGTCGAGGCCGGACCGGTCCTTTATACCAGTGGGCAGAGGCCGGCCTCACTGCTGCGAGGCCTGGCTGTGCCCTGAACCGTCCAGATGGACGGTTCAGCCCCAACCGGCGGGCGGCAGCCTCAAGAGCGCCGCCAGGCCCAAACGGTAATGTCGTTTGGGCCTGCCCGTCGGGTCTGGTCCAAGGTGAGGCCTTTATGGCCTGTAGTACCCCAAGGTCGGGCCTTTAGGCCCTGATGTGTCCCTCTAGCCCTAAGTCGGGTCCGGTAGGACCCGTGTGGCGTCGAAGATGTAACACTACCCCTACCAGCCTCTAAAATACTAGCTCGGCCTACCAAAAGGTACTACCGTTTTCTCCTTTCCTGCTACCTACCTGCTGCTACTTGATTTCTGGCCTCTGCGGGCCTGCCTTTCACTACTATACTCTCTGCACCCCGGAATGCGCACGGCCACAGGTAAGTACTGGGCGCACCGGCCATTCCAGCACACAGATCATCATCAGCGGGTCACACACACTCATACCAGTTCTCAGACAGGCGGGTAAGCACACGGACCACAGATATCAGCAAGCACACAGATCGGACAAACGCACAGACAGCGGGAATCCAGCAAACGCTCACAATGGCAGCAAAAAAACTCAGAAAAGCACAGGTTTTACAGTCTGCAATTTTGCAGGTTCTAACAACCCTATATCCTTTCAATCAATGGATCATAAGCAGCATGTGCCTATTTTAGGTTCACGAATGGAAGCACAGTAAGCATGTGTTTGCAGTCCAAAAAAGGTACTTTGACACAAAAACTGGACATTCTGCAATGACCTGAAAGCCTTTAGAAACCCCACAGAAAGTGTTCTCTGAAAGTTCTATTTACTCCAGCAAGCCCTCATAATTAGTCATCTGTTTCTTTTCTTCACCTGTTTTTTCCCCCCTGAATCAAAACTTCATGACAACTTCCAGACCCTACCAGGGAACCAACTAATGCCATATCATACTAACCCCCATAACCCTACCTGTTAGCCGAATAATGAGATGACAAGCTAACTGTTACTTGATGAGCAGCCACATAGACAGCCCATTTACCCTTTGCAAGGAGAGAGTGATTCCCTCTTAGACCACCACTACGTTTCCCAGCTATTTTTTTCTGATGTGGAGACTAACACACCGTGTCCTTCGGGGCTCAACCTATCGAACGGAAAAGACTGGCGGCACCAGGAAAAAGGATGAGATTTTGAGTTCACGTGGATTCGACAAACCTGGGCACATGGCCAAATGAGCATTGGGATAAGAGCCTTGGGCATATTGGTGGTTTAGGGAGACAAACAAGAGAACACAGTTTCCAGCTGCAATGCTGCTCTACATCTGCTATTGGACTCATAGTGAGCAACTCCGTTCAAGATCGTCATGCATACACCTAGATGCTCTTCAGACTTTTACGTGTCAGCTTGTTGTGGTAGTCAAAATCACCAGTCCTGTGGAGCAGAAATGAAAACACCCATCAAAGTTTGTATTTGCCACTGATGATTTGTGCAGAACTTCCTGATGCCAGGCACGGGACTCCTCCAATATTGGTGGTTTTGACCACCACTACCTTTCAAAACCGCCTTGGTTACCAGGCGGTCCACCCTTTGCAAGTCCACCGCACTAGAATGATGTTCCAACTGCCACAGGGTTCATGTTATTTTTCTGTCTGAAGAGGTTGGTTCAAATTTTCAGGATGTAATGGTTTTAAACTAGCAGCTGCTCCACGACCATGCCAGTCGTTCTGCACAATTTCCAGATATTAAAAAGGCACGCTACCCTTCCCAGTTGTCCCAGTATCCGGACGTGTTAGCTGAGCCACTTGGAGTTCCACAATGTGATGTCAAGCACAAGATTGATCTTCTTCCAGAGCACCAGCACCAGTTCATGAGAGAGTGCAACAGCCATTCGTTTTGGTCTCAAAAAACGAATGGCCAATATGAATATGCATCCACTATTGAGGACAATCATCACTAGAAAGAACACTCATCCTTGCTTGCCCTGAATTCAGAACCTCCTAAATTTGACTGTCAGATGTAAGGTTTTCTGCAAGATTGGCATAAAATCCGGCTACCATACTATGACTGTTGATTTGGAAGACCAACAAAAGATGCCCTTGAGGTGTGCTACAGACTCTACAAGCCCATTGGCATACCCTTTGGATCAAATAACAGGATGGCCAGATTTCACAATGTGATGGGAGAAGTTATTATTCAGTTTAATCTACTCTTTTCTTTTTCTTTTTTCTTGTTTCTCCTTTACTCGCTCACCATTCCTTCATGTTGTGATACTTGAATCCTACCTGTCTTTGCCTAAACTTTGAGGTTTTAAATGATGATCAAACTTGGTATGCATCAAGAATGATTGGTGAAACAAGGTCCAACTGATCTCCCTACATGGTGCCGAGAAGGTTAGGGCTACCCTAACCATATGCAAGTGGTCTAGGGTCCCCACAAGCACTGCATTAAGGTTGCAAATTTGAGGGGGCCGTGGGGGAGGGGAGAGGGGGCGACTGGGGGAGCAAGTATGAAGGTGTGAATGATGTTGGAGGGCAGCGAGAAGAAGAATTGAGCTGCTTGTCATAAGGTTATCCTGGCAAGATGTCCAAGAGGGGGAGGTGTTGACCAAGCTGGCTTCCCTCGCCCAACGGGCATAGGGGAAGGAGGCTACACCAAATTTGAGGCTTCTACTCTTGTTGTAGCATCTTCTACACCACCTCGATTACATCGTGGAGGTGATGTTGGACACACTTTGGAACACGGCTCAAGGAATTGTCAAATTTGGGAGACGAGTTGTCCAAGCTGGTTCCCTTGCTGAGTGGAGCACAGGAGAAAGAAGTTACATCAAGTTTG